GCCCCTCGCGCCGCGCCCCGCCCCTCGCGCCGCGCCCCGCCGGAAGCCGAGGGCGGGGCGGGGCCCGCGGGACGGGGAAGCACACGGGCCGCAGCGGGGACGGGACGTGCGCACGGACGGTAACAGAGAGGCAGCAAGCGGTGGTGTGTGAGGAAGTTGTTATTGAGGAAACGCAGCGCCAGGAGCCGCCCCGCAGCTCCACCCGCGCCGCCGCCCTCATTTCCTCTGAAGAAAACGCATTTTGCTTCCTGAAGAGAAAACGCATTGTAGGTTAGCATGGGAGCCTAGGGACGGCAGTGCACTGGGGGACAGCTTTATAAATATCGATGTTATTGATAGATGCAGTATACACATTATAGTATTAATTGTAACTTCTATAAAATTATAAAAATATAAGTTTTTAAAAAATATATTTTAGAAAGTGCTCAATAGAGGTAAGATAGGTCAAAGAGCATGGGGGCAGAGTGTGCACTCTTTTGCATTGTAATTATTTGTTCAATAGCCCTATTTATAAGAAACAATGAAAAACAAAGCTGCCTCTTTTACCAAGACTCCGGAAGATTTTGCTCATTCCTCTTGGCTCAATCTCTGGAACACTTTCCAAATACTCCAAGGCACGGATCTCAAAAAGACCTGAAGAAGAAAAATAGCACTCAGCCATTCCCTTAGCATGGGGCACCCCAAGTCATTAACAGAGTTATGAAAAGGAAAATCATGCCTAGAACAGCTGCAGGACTGAGCCTAGAGGAGACAGATACACAAAAATTCTTTGCTTAACAAGATGCATTCAGAGGAGTCATTAGCAGGCATTGCGTGGAAGCTATTGCCATTGCCTGGAAGCTATTGCCATTCCTTTATGCCATGTCTGATCCATCTGCCAGGGTGCCAAAGTAACCTGTCAGGACAGAAGGCTTCTGAAGAGCCAAAATGATGAGATATTTGGAAAAGCAAACACTCACTTTACAAAATTAGAAGTTAATATTAAAACTCACCTTTGACCGTGCTCTTTCTCAGCTCTCGATCTTGTATGAACCCTGCAAACATCTGTGTTTCCATGAATAAGTGCAGGAAATGCCGCACATTACGTGACATATGAGATTTTCGGAACAACTCCCACTGAAACATGCGCTCCCCTTTTTCTGTGACATTCATGTGTAGAGAGTAGTGTCCAACAATCTCCACAAAGAACTGCACAAAAGCTTCAGAGACCAGGGAGTTAAGAGACATATCGCCTGTGAAACGTATAACAGAACAGTCATTTCTCTCTACATTCATCATTTTGGACAGTCCTCTTCTGAGGAAGTCATATCATCTATCATACATACATAGTCTCTGTATCAACTTTTCTGTACAAGTACCTTGTGTGCTACTCTGCTCCTGAGACAGGATTTCATTTCGTTCCTCCAAGATTTGTACAAGTGCAGCCTGGAGCTTATGAGGCAGGATCTCATCCTCATCTGATACCTAAAGAAAGATAAAACAAAAACATGCCTTCCTGGCCATTTTTGTCATCAACAGAAACTTCTCGCTGTGAACTGATGAGAAAAAACTGATGAGAAAAGCTTGTGACACACCTGAAACATTCAGAGGGAAACTGATTTGATATGGAGTATGTTGAAGATACTGCATTTGTCTTGTAGTCACAACAATGAAAAACTTTTTCTCAGCACCTCCCAGAGCAGTAGTAGTCACATGCACAGATTTCCAACACATAATAATGTATGCTACATGCTTGATACACCAGTAACAAAACACACTAGAAGAAAAGTGTGCTCAAAAAAAGATGCTAAGTCACAACATTATGGTGAAAAATGATCCTTAAATACCTTTCTCCAGTTGCAGGCTGCAACACAAAATAAAACCATAAGGCAAGGGAAAGGAGATGCAAATATCCTCCTGAATTACTAATACTTTTAGAGAATTGCAGTAGCTTGTCTTCAACATTAACATGGCTCCCCTCAGTCTACATACAAATACCAGTTTAGTATAGAGTATAGAGTCACGTATAGTGTCCTGGCTGACACTGCTGCTTCACTTACCTCTTGCAAAAACCGGTCAGCACAAAGATCAACGATCAGTACCTGGGGAAAGATGTGCAAACACATTAACTCTTGCACTTTTGATATGCTGAAAGTATCCATCCATCCTCCAAACACACAGAGAGAGGAAAAAACAAAAACTAAAACACATTACTTTTTTAATATTCCCAGTGGCATGGGATTTCACACATGGACTCCACAGGTTTTACATAACTGCATCCTGTCTCTAAGAAGAGTCACTTGGATAATAATGAAATGGCCTGATATGCATCTGGCAGCTCATCAATGGTCTCAGAATAATTTAAGACTTCACATTTAAAAAAGCATCCACAATTTCTTTCACAGAAGTTAGCCGCATATGACTGTAACTGTTTCTCCCATTTTTCTTTTTCCCAACTCTCACCTCTTCTATGGGCAGGTCCTGAAGCTGTGGTAATGAGCAGGAGAGAATGCCAATTAAGAATGGGGTCGGAGAGCAGGCAATATCAATCATGGAAGCAGGAAGGACTGGTATGTATGTGTGTTGCCAAGAAAAGGGATAAAGCATTGCCACTGCAGCATGGCCACATTTGGACAGAGTGCTAAAAAGGTAAGAGAAGCACAGAATGGACAGTATTCAACACTGAGCTACATATCTTAGAAATGCTCATGAAAATCAAAATTTTACATGCATTTTTATACAACAGCAGAAACCCCATGCATCTACTTTTTAAGTCAGTTATGTAGAACTAAGGGCATCAACCCACACGAAAGGGTTAAATAGGTGAGGTAACAGGAGACAAGGAGCCCTTGTCTCCTCTTTGGTAAACAGGATACTCCAAATTCTCAGCATGCATATGCTATACGGAGAATATGCAAAAAGCTCTTAAATAGCTGTAACTATTTACAGAAAGTTAGACAAGCTTGCATACAAAACAAGCTCAAACACAGAAGAAAACCCAACATTCCTCAGAAAGAGTAGTCACTTGGACTCTTTTCACCTTAAATTGTCAGCAACCAAGATCACCCTCCTTTCCAGCAGGAGAGAGGCAAAGACACGAATCATGTGAGAGACACTTAAACACTTAAACAGGCACTCGAAGTCCACATGTTCAAGGCGAGAATCCAGTGGACGGCAGAGTTCCATAACCTGAGAGAAAAGCAGAGATGCAGGGCTCTGGATGAAAAGGATGCGTCTGGAAAGCAAACTGATGGATCCTCATATGTAGGAACCAAGCAGCTTGGTCAGTTCAGATCATCACAAAGGACTCAAACAGCTCTTCTCTAAAAAAAAAAGAATCAGAGAATCACTTCTATTGCAGTATGCTTCTGCAGGAGGCCGGTTTTCTGGCAGCCTCTGTTGAAAGTTTAGGAAGTAATTTTGGCATTAATTACTTACAACTAGCACCACTGTAGAGTGCAGTTTGCAGAGTGTCACTAATCCCCAAGAGACCACAAGCAAAGAAAAGCCAGCCCTGCTTTCAGTTACCTCATTTCCTGCTCCTGGCAGGAAACTCTTCACAGTAATAGTACGTCCAGGAGCAGGGAAAGGTGCCTCCATGACACTGTGCATAAATGGGTACACTAGGGCTGGTGACATATCTCGTCTCTTCTCCACTTCATCTAAAATCTGCAAGAAGATGAATCAGACAGTGGTTCTGTGCCTGCTCGCAAGCTACACAAGATATGATTTGATGTTACATTGTCCCATTTGGTAGCTACATATGAAGGGTGCAATATGGACCCACAGCCTTCTACCCCCTTGCTTGGGATCCCTCAAAGATCTGAAAAAAATCAATGGCAGAATAGATACCTACAACTAAAAATAGATACCTATGACTATACCTTGTAGTTTCTCAAGTCTTGTCCCCTGCTACTACAAGAAAATGTAAATGTATGTTATATTTGTTAATCAAATTTTCACAACTAGTTGAGGAATAGTTCTTATGTCTTATCCTTTAACAAGACCCCATTCTCCTTCCCAGAAAGCCTTTTTGAAATACAGCTCTATAAATTCAGTGCTGCAACAGTTAGAAAGCAGCACTCATCATGAGTTTGTCTTCTACAGTCTTCCGCAATAGCTTATGTAACAGTGTAACAGGCTTTCCCATTATTTACCTCTTTATCTACTCTCCCATGGCAGTAGAAGAAATAGCTTGCTTTCTCCTCTTAAAGAGTTTTAGGGTTTGCTTGCTTATTTGTTTGTTTTAATTCCTCAAGTCATGGGAGAAGTAGATTAAGAGTCTCCACACCAGTGATACCGGTGCCAAACCAAATTGCTGGAGGAATAATCTTCCATATACCAGCTGACAAGTCTTCTCAGAACCAGTATCACGTAATTTGCCCAGCCAAAGAAAAGACAGCAAGGAAGCATGCTGCTGGAATGTATGTCATAATTGTTGAGCAATTTTAGACTGGACAACAGCATCCAGTTACTTGCTGGAGCTTGCTGGTTGGATACCCATGTCTGATAGGAAGTAACAGGCTCTCCCCACCTCACCTTAGAGAAAAGGTTGAAGCAGCCTAGATGGCTGACAATGCAGTATACTTCCGGAAGGCGTTTTCCTTTCCCTTCTGGCTGAAAGGCAACAGAACACTTACACTGAGAACCAGGATGCAATGAAGAACCTAACACCTACAGGTAGCTGGCTTACAGAATTCCTTCTGCTGTAGTTCCCTCTACACCTCTGACTTTAGAGATTCGTGAGAAATTCCAGGAGCTGCCTTTCGTGCCCAGAATCTACTTCGCTTTATTGCTGGGTATCACCATACTCCTGCCCTTATGCATTTAAGGTTGGTAATAGCAGTACTACACAGCCTACACGGGAAATCATTCCCCACTCCCATCCTCACTTGACTGTGAATGTTTCTCTTAATCAATGGATTCTTTACTCTCCCTCTAACAGAGATGCTTACCAGGAGCTTCTTGCAGTACCCAAACCAGCGGCTGCCATCCTCACCCGTCAACACAAAAGAAAATGTTTCACTGAGGGCCAAAGAACAGTCAGGGTCAAATTCACCATGCAGTTTAGATGAAGACAAGAGACTGATGGACAAAGCAAGATTCATGCACCACACAGACTAGAAGCCATTCTCTTTCTGGTCACAGTAGAGATGCCTGCTATGAGTAGCTGGGTTCTTCACCCTCCATTCTGTGGAAGTACAACTATCCTGTTGGTTCTGCCCTGAACCAACAGGGCAGTTGGTGTCCTGCCAGTTCTTCAGGGCACCAACCCTCATCTACCTGTAGCTCTCCTCCTTCCCAACTGCTTCAGCATTTTTCCAAGCAGTAACATAATTCCCAGGGGCTGTCTTGAACAGAAGTTACAGACTTCCTATTCTAAATGAAAAAGCTGTTGCTTGGGCAGAAGCAGCACTTCTGCCTCCACCTTATCCCATCTTCCCCTATCATAGCAGCCTTGGGCTTAGTCTCTTCCATTTTTCCCTGCACTAGCTACAGTTCCTTTTGTCCAGGGAACTGGCACATACCTAAGCCCCCAGCATGGCCCCCACAGCGCACGAGTACTCAAAAATAACTCTACCTTTTAAGGTCTGAGGTAGGAAACCAGTCTTTGGGATCTGGAAAGCAGAATTTGGGAATGACCTTTAGCCTCTCTTCAGTATCCTTTGACTGTCTCATGGGATGTTCAGGCTGGAGGGGTAACATAAGCATTTTAAAATCACTGAAGCATGGTGCCTGGCTGCAGCCATTATTGTTTAAATTATTAAGACAAATTATTGTTTATAGTGGCCAAGGTCCATAACCCATCTGTTGCCCAATTATTTCTGAACAGCAGCTTCATCCCTCCTACTGCCAAGACAGGAAAGGATTCAGTCAGTACTTGGGTAACAAGATCAATTCACACTTGCCTAGGACAGCTTGTCAGCTAAATGATTACTAGCAGGCACGCTGTAAGGAGAAAGGAAAGACTGCAGTACTTTTAACAGCAGGGTCACTCCTGGAAATGCACTGTCTCCTCAAAACACTTCTGACATTTTAAATTCATGTCCCTTAAGCAATGCACCTTTTATTTCTCAGTTACAAGCAAAGAATCAGGCACAGAAGCTTTTATCTGCTCTATCTTTTGATAGAAAAGTGTTTCTCGTGTGAAAAGTTGAGATTAGATATTCTTTCTGCTACAAATCCAATTTCCTTCCTCTGCAAGGACAGTGTTTCTGAAGGCACCAAGTTGTTGGGACTTCCTAAACCTTACAATATGGTTTCCCTATGGTATAAATACCTGTCAAGAAAAGCATCTAACAACTTGTCCAAGACTATGCATTAGATCTGTAACAGAGCAAAATGCTTCAAATTCCAAATCCAGTAGGCCAGTTCTATTAATACAGAGCTCAGGAAGGGAAAAGAAAATGAGCAGTTACTGAATGTGTCGTATGGGGAGGCTTCCATGCAACTCCTACCTTGCTGGGAAACTGCTGTATGATCTGTGGTGTGTATGTCATCTCTGATGCCTTCTTGTGCAGTGACACCACCACAAATAGCTCAAATAGCTGCTGCTCCTGGAGTTCTATCAAATCCCTCTCCAATGTTTGGTAGTGTGCGTTCTTCTTCCAACTTGACTGCACCTGCAGCAGGCACCTGTGTTGACCTGAAGGCAAGGACAAACCTAAAGCCAGATAGCATCTACTATTGCCATACAGCCACAACTCTCAGAAGAGGAACTGTCATTACTTTTGGAAGGAGCAAAAGAGATGGGTGCATTTGCCTAACCTCACAGCACTGTCCCACCTCATGGGAATGAGGCTTCCCAGTCAGCTCCTCAAGCACAGAGCTCTTACAGGCACAAGGGTGCTGCACTGCAGCAGTTCTGCAGCTCCTTTTGCCCGACAGCATTTTGCGGCTCTCCCAACATTCCTTCCATGGACCTCCAGCAATGCAGTGGTAACAACGAGGAAAGGCTAAGAGAAGGCAGCCAGCCTCATCAGCTCAGTAATGCTGCCAGGCTTCAGGCAGCTACTCCATAGTGCAGCATGGGCATTCAAGAGAGGCAGCTTCCTGGTCAGGAACCCTCTGAGTTCAGATGTCTTGACTCACTCACAAGCACAAGCAACACTCTGACTTAAGAAATCCTTGTGGCTCAGGCACCGTGACACATTCTGGAAACTACCATTAAAACCAGACAGTGGCTCAATTCCCTCTATTTTTGAATATTCATCCTTTATTAACACTAACATCCTTTTCTTAACACTTAAAAAATTAACTTAATCACCTCCAAGCTAAGGCATTTTGCATGCATCTTTATAATTATAATTATTATTATAAGAGAATATTATAATAATAAGAGAATATTATAATAATAAGAGAATATTATAATAATAATAAGAGAAGTAGCAGGGGCAGAGGGAATGACATCAAGTGTTAGCAGCAAAGGTAATCCTCGGAGAATTCATTGCAAGATATACTTTGGTAAGCATGACTCTACTAATTCAAAAATGCTTTAAAACATGCTTTAAAACATGCTTTAGCCACTAGCAGGTGAGTAGCATAAAACCTGAAGGGCTCAAAGTAAGTGGCAGAAATAAGTGGCCAGTTTGTCAAGCAACAGCTCCCAGCCCTGGTCTGTCAGGTTTTCCCTTCTTCTGTCACAGCAGAAGCCACAACTATTTAACGTGCTTATTCCAACTGTAGCCAAATAAATAGTGCTGTAAGGACAGGACCAGCCCCTGTGATTCACTCACCTTTTGGCCAATTTTCTGTATTGCTTTCATTCCCACTGGTTTCACCTGAAACGCACATAACGTTCACTTACTAGCCACGCAGAAGAAAGATGGGCAACACCCAAGTTGGGAAAGACAAAGAATGTCAGACTCATCAAGCCAACATCACACAGGGCGGCTGATCTATTCCACTCTTAAGTATCAGCAAAGAACAACTATTACTGGCAAACATGCTACAACATAAATTTCAAAAAGTGGAGTTGATTTGAAGTCACTGTTTGTAGTGATTCATCTTCCCAGTCAGCCAAACCCTGGCCAAGAACAGAAACCAAGTCGTTATTTGATGCTGTTAGGAAAGCCAACAGCATTGCTTAATGTAATATAATAACTATAGTAGAAAACCAGAACACAAAGATATCAGTTTAGAAGCACAGAAGAGATTAGTAGAGCATGCAGAGTGGTTTGCATGGAAATGGTTTTGGTGGGCTTGCTTTGTTTTGTTTTGGAAAAAAAAAAAAAAGGCACTTTTAACAACTACTCTTTTTCTCCAGATTCAGACAACAGTGGGATCTTCCACTTTTAAAAGCATTACGCAGGTATTCCCAATCCTAACAGTGCTGAAAGACTATTCCAGTCATGCAAGACATAAGGTTCAGCACTGCTAAGTCAGATCAGCATGAGGTGGTAGTACCTGGCATATCAGCAATACTCCAAGATACAGGGATATTGTGCTGTTCAACAAGTGGGTAACAGAGAGAATGGTGCAAGAGTCCTCTATACCTTTCATTGGAGGAACTTCTTTCCCACTGGGACTGAGCAACTTCACTCTCTTCTTTCCACACTTAGAATCAAAGATCTCCTGTATTTTCAGTACAAGCTGAAATGCAAACCAGAAGCACAGGTTAAAAGAGGGCCCAAAATGGGCACAAGAACCAACAGAAAAGCACAAACAAAGAGAAAATCCCTACAGCTATCATCCAGTACCACAGCACTTTGCAAAAAGGCAGATGAAGTCCTAGCTCAAAGGCTTCTGGCTGGAGTGCTTTTAGCACAGCTCACTGGATAATGAATAAGCACAGAACTTCTGCTACAAGAGAAACATTACTTTTAGCATAATTCAGAGCTGACACCAAACTACACATACATTCTGGAAGTTTATATATTTCACTTACCAAACAGATAGAAGTAATGGCAAAGTGCCTAGCATCAGATCTCAGTTTTCTGTTATGGAAGCCAAGTACAAGAGGACGTGTAAGAATATAAAATTTCCTCTGCAATGGATTCTGAACTGCACATACCCACAGGCATCTCAGTTCTTTCCAAGCCCAGAGAAATCAGAGTTCTTTCAGCATAGCCTGAAGCTTGTTTTTTCAAACTTGTTGCTGCAGATGGATGTCAGATAGCTACGGTAAGTTCTCCAAAGCACAATGCTAGGCACAGAACAAGGCTGCACTGAGCACAGTCCTTGATTCAAGCTAGTTTGCTAAAATGAACAGATCACACTCTCAGATTGTATGGGTGAGAAATGCCAGTAGGACACAGAAATGTTCCAACACTGCAGGAACGCCACAGAAAAAGCATGCAAAACAACATAGCCCAAAGCAGGCTAAGTTACAGACTTAGGAGAAGTGTCTGCATTTAGATACCTGAGGTGAATGCTGCTAACCCTCCTCCCACGTCCTGAAAGCCAAAGTCACCATTTTCCACTACTCCTGTTCCAGACCTCTCCAGACTCCCACTCTGAGCTGCCAAATATACAGACTGTGGCAGCTTCTTGATTCTACACGTCGAAGAATGCTATCACCTCACTTAGTGGAAGGATTTACTTTAAATGCAGTGAGCAGGTCAAGTTCATTCTTGTCTCAAGAATTCATTAATGATCCCACTGAATGTAGCAGGGTGGGGCCTAGTCATTTGTCACCACAAATAATGCACACAAAGATAGATATCCAACAAGAGAACCTGTTTTTCAGTTCAAGCATTTATCTCAAAGCTCAGCAAACCAGGCATAAGCTCTTCTCGTCACTTCTATTTCTCACAATATTCTGTCCAGACAGAACAGGCCACCACGAAGTTCTTTATTGCAAAACCAGCCATCCTCCTCCTCTGCTATCTACTTTTACCTACAGATTTTCAATTTCTGTTCTGATTTTTTGCACACTTGAGTCACCAGTAAAAGTATCATGTGTGTTCAAGGTAGTAAGATGCTTCTTGTGCGATAATTTTTTTTCTTTTAGGACTCCAAACTTTTTCTGAGTCTCTCTAACAATCTTGGCTCAGTTTATAAGCAGAGAGAATAATGTGTGCTTTCTGCTTGTAAATTGTTACCAGATTTTTGGAATAATTTGTTTTTTGGGGAATGTTTTGTTTTCCCCTCCCCAAAAGCAAGATATTCTGTCACAATATTTTTATAAAGTTGCCGCACCCTTCCTGATTCCTCACCTCTGCCATTTGTTTAAAATTACATATAAAAGATCTTTGTTGTTCTAAAATACTTAACATCTGAACTGTATTTTGCAGCTGTCCCATCCATGGGGCAGCCTGCTACTGGGAGGGGAAATGGTTTGACCAGGGTCATCTGTCTATATATGCAGCAGTGATGAGCAGCAATCACCTGCCAGACACTCAGCTCCAAGACCACTTACAAAGCTCTTGCAGGGTATCAGATAAAATAGCAAGAGTTTGAAATGCTATCAAGAAATAAGTTTTCATGCTTAAATCTCACCCAGGGCAAATTCTTTCTCCTGCTAGCAGCTTCTGCTACTCCAAACAGCTTCCACTCGTTCAGCGTGACAGGCAGTGTTATGTCCTTCAACATCTTCCTTTGTGAACGTGTCTGGGAAGGCTTTAGCTCCAGAGTCTTACGACTGAGAAAGGGAGGCTTGGAGAGCTGCTAAAAGCACAATCAGAATAGCTGGTCAAGCATAGAATTAAGTTTTGATCCCAGTTCACAAGTCAGAGGTGTGAGATTATAAGAGTTTCCTGTTACCTCCTGTTCTACCAAGCCAACCCTCCGACATTCAGACATCTTAGCAACACTTTCTTTTTCCCATCTGTTTGATTCTTAACAGCTTAATCAACTGCCACTGTCCTGGCTGTTCATTACCATTTACATTAATAGTAAATAATTCATATTAAGGAAAGACATGACATTGAGGCAAAAGAAAACACAGAATAACCCCTCTTGTGAGGATGACTTGCTGTGAAAACATGACAATTTAACCCTTCACCCTACCTTGGGAGCCCTAATGGTACTCTGGGAAGGTGGCAACCTCCAGACAGATGGGATCTTCCACAGAGGTAAAGGCAGCACTCTGATATTTTCATAGGGATTTTCTTTCACAGGACCTGGAAAAAAGCATTGGAGAGGGGACTTATGAAAGGAGATAAATCCTTGCATTCTTGCAAGGCATATGAGTATGGAGTGTCTGCATGGTTTGCTGGCAAGCTTGGACAGGTCTGGAGAGAAACCTGTAGTATGATGGATTAAGTTTCCACCAAAGATGCTTCTAAATCACTCTTATCATCTAGGAAAGCTGTACAGGGATTCACCACACCACTTCCAGCACTGCACGGAAAAAGTTCCATTGCAAAGCAGCAGATTTTGTCAGTGTTTCCACACAGCTTTATGCAGCACACCAGCAGAGCATGGAAAAAACAGTTTAATGCATGCCTGTTCTAGTGAGCTAAACCAATGTGTTCACACATACATAGCTGTTAATATTAACAAGTAACCCTAGATAGGAAGACCTTAGAGATGGACGGTCCTCAATGCATTGTCACTCTCACACCTATTTCCCCCAGAAGTTTGCTACCAAATAAAGTGAGTGCGTCCCCGAGAAGCACAGGTACATACAGATAATGTCCTCACAGATGTTGTCTTCTGACTGTGTATAGAAAAGCCTGGATCCTGTGGTGCCTTCTATCTCTTCCTGAAGTTTGTGGGAGCTGGTGGCTACCTTTCGCTTGCAGAATCCCTGGATGTCCTCGAACTCAAAAGATTTCCTGGAGGAAAACCAGCACAATGTCTTCTAAAGGCACCTGTATGTACCAGCGAGTTACTGTCTCTGGTCTGCACAGACTATGGCCCTCCTTGGGGCCACGGATGCACCACTCTGGACTCATTGATTTTCGGTCAGATTTTGCTCCCTTAACCTCGGGGGTCTTTCAATGAAAAAGAAATGGAGTTGGAGACTCAACGACCAAGCACATTTGCACAGGTAAGGCAATCCTCATCCTGTCACAGAGGCAGGAACCCACAATAGGTTTTGGCCTTCAATCCAAAACAATGCCATACAGGTCATAAAACACTTAGATGGAATTTAGCCCATCGTTATTTGTGCTTTTTTGCTGCACCCTTTGCCATCACTGAAGGTGGTGTAAGGATTCAGGAGTCCTAGCTCCACCTATAACATTCACACTCCTCTCCAGCACAGCTGCCCTAAACAGCTCATTTGCTTGTAGGACTAGCATCGAACTAGCTCAGACAGTTATTACTCTGTGACAGTGACCTACAGGCAAGAGGGAGAACAGCTAAACCTACTGCAGCAGTGGCCACCCACTACTGATAGCCCCAAACTATAAGCAACAAGCAAACAACCACAACACAGTCCCCAGAGGTCATTCTGAAATTCACAAGGAGGTGGCAGCCCTCTTCCCGGGGCCAGCAAGTTTCCTACTTAACTCCTTTTAATGTGTGGGACTAAGGCTTGTTTGAAAGACTTTTAACCTTCTTTGAAAGACTTTCAGCAGAAAAAGAAGAGCATTCACGGTGATGTAAAGGGGTCAGTTGCATCCAGAAATATCATCTTCCATCAACAGAGGTATCATCAGTACCAGCACCTCCACAAGGATATCATGGCAAGCAGGTTGTGTGGACTTATCTAGAAACTGATTTAAGGAAACATGTTTCATACCAGAGATCTAAATCAACATACCTCTGGGTTCTTCCTCTGATCCTTCTGCACACTCTTCTCTTCTCAGGACTGTGAGAGGATGGCACCAAGTCTCCTCCACAGATATTTTGCAGGGCAGTTTCCTTTCTACCACTGGCATGGCTGTGGCTGCTAAGGTGCTTTTCTGAAAGATAGCAGAAGGTTCTTCGGGGCTTGGGTGGTGGGACAGCTGCTGGCTCCACCTCTTGTCCCTCAGCCTCCAAGTGAAAGTTTTCCAAGCTCCTCTCTGCCCTGCAGCAAGAGGCCACCCTCGTGGCTTTAAGTGCTTTTTCCATGGAGTCACAGCTCTCTTGCATCCTCTGAAGATCCGAGGGCAGTGCCAGGACTCTGTCAGGTGGAAGGGGATCTACTCTCCTCCACAACTCTTGTGAGGTGCAGAAGTCATCTGGGGGCAGTGTCTCCTCTGACTGCAAGAGGCCTGCTTGACAGTTTCCATTCTCCTTCGCCTGCGAAACCAGGCTGCATGCACAGTGCCGAAGGTCACCACAGTCATCAGTTTGCAAGTGTCTCCTTGTATTTTCCCTGAAGTCCAAGCCCAGGCTTTTTGGATCTTCAGATCCAGTGTTTTTGCCCATCTCTGTATACTTGGGCTTCACTTTAGGTAGAGCATCACAGCCTGGATCATACTTTACCCCAAAGTCCTTCAGCTGTTGCTTCTCCCTGCTGGAGCGCCCTCCCAACCTCCCCTCCCACTGGGAGATCTTCTGCTTGATGTTGCGGCAGTGGCTCCGTGAGAGGGTCTGCACGGCAGAGCGGGAGAAACTGCTGTCCACGGTTCCTGCTGGGAACATGGCAAGTGCCAGTGCGCTTACAAACAGCCCATCTCCAGCTTTGCCCTGCACACATCAGGTTGGCATGAGATCCCAAAGCATCCAATGTTGTCCAAGAGCACTTGGATATCAGCCCAGCCCTGAAAGGACTGCCTCCTAGCACAGCCTGTGGACAGAGAAAACAACCATCAGCTCCACTCCTGAACAAATGCATCACCGAGAGGTCCTGGCTGCACTCAGGCAACTGCTGAAGAGCACTGCTCCCCACATCACACATTTAAGACCAAGTTCCAGAGTTTGCTCCCTACAAAGCCTCCTTCTATAGTACATATCTGGAAACAGAGCTGGCTAAAATACTATAAATAAAAAAATAATTTAAAAAATCAAAGAAAGAAAACACCACATTGGGAAGAAAGCACAAACACAGATTCCCAGGGCGCAAGATTAGGAAAGTCACTTAATGAGACAGGGACACTGCAACCCGGTATCCCAACAGCCCTTCTCCCACTAGTACTCCTCCCTCCAGAAACACTCTCCCTGCTATGGAACACAAGTAAAAACCTGTTTGATGTTATACCTGCCAAAACTTGACCCAAATTTGCCAACAGGAACACCTGAGTGCAGTGGAGCCCAGCCTGTGGTTGTAAGCCAGAAGAAGTATTAAAAGACATACAAGAGAGGCCAGCCAATGGAGGAAACTCTGTTAAGATCATTTGCTCAAGAGGAAAGCAGCCCTGTATCCAGGTCAGCAGGGCAGTAAGAGCTCTAAAGAAATGCTAAGACTTCTCCCACTCCAGGCAGAATGGGACCAAACCGAAGCCGTGTTGTTTGGAACTCCTCCAATGCATCAAGTAGGGGACAGAGCAAATAGTCATCCCAGTAGTCCTGCAGCAAGAAAGGCTTCCCCGCCAGCACAGCACCGCCAGCAGCACCTCTGGAGAAGCGAGGACAAGCTATCCCGCACACGTGACACTGCATCTGCGACACAGAGCCCTGCTCCACAGCAGCCAGGAACAGGATGCAGGTGAGGGACAAGCAAGCAGAACAGCACTGATGACATCCCCTGCGGGAGGCAGGAAGAGACCAAGGGTGAGAATGCGACATCACACACAGAACTGCAGCCCCACACAAAGGCCTCATGGGGCTGCAGTGCTCCTGCCCCACAGCGAGACCCCACTCCACACCACACAAGCACAGGGCCCCCTCCCCTCTGTTATTTATTAATAGCCTTGTTTCCAAACACGCCGGGCCAGGGCAGAGCCATCCTCCCTTAGCCCTTCTGTGCGGCCCTCATTAGCAGATAGGAAAGCAGCTCTCCGCGCTCCCAAAACTGTTGCAGCGGGTGTGCAGCAACAACAGCTGTTCCAGAGGGCCTGAAGCACAAGCTCACAAAGGGCAGCCTCTGCACAGGGAGGCAGCCTCCGTGAGCCGGCCCAAGACCAGGCATCTTCACTCCCTCACAGATCTTTTGAGGCACAAGACCTGCAGAAGTGACACATGGGCAGGCCCCAAAAGGACCTCGCAGCACGGGGTCAGCTAAGGCAGCCCAGGCTGGTCAGCAGCCTGGCATTGAGCCTGTGATAGGGCCACAGGCCAGCGCGGTGCTGCGAGGGAGCCAGGCTCCTGCCACAGCCGCAGTCCTGGCTCCGCCGATGCAGCCAGCGTGGTTCCTGCCCCACAGCCGCCTGCCTGCCAGCGTGGAGCTCTGCGTGCCGCCGGGCCCCTGCAGCACTCGCTGCTTTTCTGGGAGGCCTCCTGCATCCAGGGCTGCGCTGAAGGCCAGGCAGGCGCTCCAGGAGCTGGACCCTGACATCCTGGGCTGCGAGCAGGCCCCGAGAGCCACGCACTTCTCCCCTCCGCCCCCTCCCACGCGCAGGTCACAGTCGTCACCCCCCTCTGCTGCTGCAGTGGACGGGCTGCAGCCTCCTCGAGAGGCGCCGCTCCGGGGACTGCGATTCCTGCTGCCCGTCCCGTCCTGATCCCGCCCCCGTCGAGGCCGGCAGGGGGGCCGCCACCTCAGGCAGCAGCCGCTCTCAGCGCGGGCGGCGGGACGGACGAGAAGAAGAGAGCGGCCCCTCGCAGGCCACATCCGCGCAACCCGGGCACGGCAGCGCGGCCGCCCACGGCGCCGCGGGCTGCGGGGGAGCGCCTGCCGCGAAGGCCGGTGCGCAGCGGGACCCGAGGCCGCGACTCATCGAGGGGTCGGAGCAGCCGAGCGCTTCCTCCGCCTCGGCCCCTGCGGCCGGTCGGTCACAGCGGCCGGTCACAGCGGCAGGTTCCCCCGCCGCACAGCGCCGCTCCCGCCCCCGCAGCACCAAGCCCAGGCTAACGGGGCAGCGCTGGCCAGACGGACCCGCACCCGCCTACCTCACCCGCTGCCACCGCCCGACTCCAGCCCCAACAGCGGCGCCGCTCGTGGCGTCCTGCCCGACCGGAGACACCGCCCATTGGGCGACGCAGCCCTCACTCAGGCCACGGTCCCGCCCTTTCCCGCCGTGCTCGACCCCGCCCCTCCTCGAATCGCGGCCCCGCCCCCAGCAGAAAGTCCCTCCCAGACGCTAGGCCCCTCCCCCCAGCGCAGGGCCCCGCCCCAGTACTCCACCCCGCCCCCGGCACAGGGCCACGCCCCGACGCTCGGCCCCGCCCTCATCGCAGGGCCCCGCTCCAACACAGGGCCACGCCCCAACGCTCGGTCCCACCCCCCAGCACAGCGCCCCGTCCAGGTGCTCGGCGCCACCCCCTTAGCACAGGGCCACGCCCCAGCACAGGGCCACGCCCCAGCACAGGGCCACGCCCCGGCGCGGCAGCAGCAGCGGGCTGCTCAGGGTCAGGCTCAGGCTCAGGCTCAGGCTCAGGGTCCTGGTTTTACTGCGCGGTGGCTGCGGCCCAGGCAGCCCTGTCCGGCGCCGGCTCCCCATTCCCCGCCCCCCCCGGCCCTAGTCGCTCTTCAGGCCCTCGGCGATGAGGTTGAGCTCGTAGCACCAGGTCTCATAGCGATAGGCCATGCGGATCTGGGCCACGTTGGTCTTGCGAATGTCGTTGCCATGTGGTCCTTCCTCTTGGTAGTTCTCGCCCAGGAACCGTGCTTTTTCCTGGTGGAGATGGGAGCATGGCATGCCTTGTGCCGCAGAGCCTGCCCAGCGGCCCTGCCGCCCGAGCTGCCTCCCTACCTGGTGGGAGAGGCCGCACTGCAGGACACTGTTGCGGGCGATCTCGCACATGTCGCAGGTGGTCAGCTTGAAGACCTGGGCCGCAATGGCGTACTCCTCCATGAGTGGCTCCTGGAAGGACGCAGCATGCCGCCCCGCTGCCCGAGAGTTCCTGGCGCGCTGCACCCGCTGCAAATGCTGCCCGCCTACAAAGCCCCAGTGCTCCTGGCCCCCGGCCATGCCCTGAGCCATACCTTGGTGTAGTGGAACTGCATGGGGTCGTCGGTAGAAAGGGACACCATGAGACCTTTCTGGTGGAAGTCCAGCAAGGGGTTCTTTGCATACTCCAGAAAGAGGCTGTTATTGCTGAGCGGGGACATAGCAATGGGAATTTGGGCAAGGAAGTACAGATACTGCAACACCGGGCTCTGAAAGGAGAGCAGAGCTGTCAGGCTAGGCATAAAGCTGCTGTGCCCCCCACCATTCCTGGGGCCGAGACCAGCCCAGATCCCATCACTGGTGCATAGAGCTGCTATCTGGCAAGACTGGCAGGCTACTGGTCCCTCAGGGCCTATGTGGAGCAAAAGAGGCCGAGCAAGTTCAGATCTGTCTGATTCGGGACCTCAGCTGACTCCAGTGATCACAACCTAGCCAAAGGCTGTCAGGCTGAAGCAGTGGAAAATCCCGACACACTTCCTGGCTACAGCCCCAGACATGCCTAGGGAAACCCAGGGAGTTGCGTAACATCTGCCCGTCAAGTGTCAGTCTAAAGCAAGGCCCAAATAACTGTCAGCTCCAGTGGAGGCTGGATGTGGACAGTTCATCACCGCCACTCCTGGGCTGCTCCCTTGCAAGCTACTTCACTCACCTTCTTGAGGTTGAGGCCATGTGAGATATTATCTGCTGTCATGAAGGCTGCGAGCAGATGTGTGACAGCCCCAGCTTCCCCACAGTGTGGTCGGAAGAGGAAGGTGTTCATACCACGTTGCCTAGGCACATGGAAGAGCCGCTCAGAGCAGGCAGGCAACAGCGGTGCATGGCATGCAGTTCAAGACCTCCTGCCTCAAGCCCCAAGGTGTTCACTCCAGTCCAAGCCACCTTCGTGGCAGAGCAAGTAGGGCCTCAGTTCTTCCACACCAATCAAATAGCCAAGGCAACTTGTGAGGCAGCCCCCACTCCTACCAGCTGTAAGAGAGGTCTCTGAGAAAATCTTGGGCCTCACCTGCGTAGATTGTTAAGCACCAGAATGTTGGCATACATATAGTACACATAGTAGGTGTAGGATGGGTTCTTCTCACTGGTCCACTGCTCTGGCTTTGGACTTTTGGTGGAGAACATGTGTCCGCTGTGCTTGGATTCATCATCCACACTGTCAAAGCCAGTAATCTGCTTGGCACAACAACAGAAAAAAAATATAAAAGCTGTCTCCCAAAGTTCCCCACCTCAACATCCTCAGGTAGGGCGGCTCACCCTCACCAACACAGCTTCCATAGTTTGGCCATTGCCTGTGCCCCTGCCTCAGCCACAAGCACAGCAAGGGCCAAGCAGGTAGTCTTTACTCTATGGGAAACTCCAAGCAGGGCAAAAAATAGAGAGCAATAAATTCTGCACCAACTACCTCTCCAGGAGGCAAACGGATAGCATTTCTCACAAACCCACGGCAGCTGAGCTCGCAGAACCTGCCTCCTCTGGGCAGCTTCCTCCTCCCAGCACGTGGCAGCAGGGCCACAAGGCCACCTCTGGCATTTCCCGTGTCACAGCAACACTGTGGTCATGTGCAACAGGAACATCACTGCTCACCACACCCTGACTGCCTCATCAGGCGACACTCACGTGGCGTAGAAAGACACTCAGCTCTTTGTGGGTTTGAGGATTGACAGTTGCCTCAAACACAGGAACGAAGATGTTTTCCAGCATTTTCCCGAAGTGTGGGAGGAACTTTTTAGACCTGAAGACATCACTGTGGACAGAGACAGCAATTAGACCTAGTAGAGGAACAACATGGCCCACTTTCCCCATAACCACCGCAGAAAAAAGAATCAGCCAAAGCATGCTATAAGAGAGAGCGCTTTCCCAGATCCAGAGCACGTACTAAATTCTGGGTATCTGGATCATCCACTTCATGTTAGGGGAATAAACGCGATGTTTGTTGAACCAACTGGCCAGCTTGGACCACTCCTCAGCTGAGCGCCCATAAATTGAGAGTCGAGGCTCTGCGTGCTGGTACTTGGCATCCTCCAGATCAGAGCCAACTTCCTGCAAGATAAAGGAGCGGAGGGGAGCACAGAGACCCTCCAGCCCCTGGGGCACTACAGCTCCATAGCACAGCTGCTCCCCCTCCTCTGTACTTTCACCTTGATGATGGTAGCAAAGTACTCGCCATTGATAGCATTCTCTGTCTTCAGGTAGAGGTCACGCAGCTCACTGGCACCCACAGGGTTGTACTTGGCATTGAACTTGTCGAAGCGCTGAAACGTCTGCCGCCCCTGGAGGGCAGAGGTTCAGGGACAAACACTGCAAACCCACACTGGGTCCAAGGGTAGCAGCAGGGATGCAACACTCCAGAATGGGAAAGACAAGAATCGCTACAGTCTGACACACAAACTCCAACACAGGCAGTGTGCCCAGGAGGGGAAGCACCATGCTTAGACGGGGTGTGGGTAGGTCTCCTACCACTTACAGCATGGACATCCAGGGAATCCACTGTCAGATCATAGGGGTGCAGACTGAGCTGCTGGAAAAGCTGTTTCAGAGTGAGCTGCTTGCCCTTGGTATCATAAACAACCCTGTCAGCATCCACACGATAGGACTTTTTGATGAAGCGCAGAAGGTG